GTCTATTCAATGCACAGAGGCCAGAGGGGGCTTCTCCAGCTAAGGACGGAGCCAGGTCTCTATGCACTTCACAGGTTGCCCTTTCTGGTTTTGGGACACCATCTAACTATTTGAGGAAGGTTAGGAGGATAAGAGGCTTCCTTCAACCAGGTATCACGTGTTCTCCCTCAGAGGTAAATTTCACTTCTGTGAAACCTACACAGCTGTGGTTCTTTGGTGTTCCTAGACTTCGTCTCTCTGCTAAGAGTTCGATACCTGGATTTTTGGAGCTGGTGTGTGAGCCTCCCAGCTTCAATCACACCCATCGGCTCTTCTTAATAACTGCTGGCAGGCCTCTCGCCTCGCCTTTCTCATTTGTCACGGGTTCGCAGGCTGCCTCTCTCTGAGGCTGGGCCGGCCTTGGCTGTGGCGTTTCCCTTTTCTCATTTTCCTCCCCATTAGGCAGATTATACATTGTCACCTCCCTGCCCCTTGGACATTTCCAGGTAAAACGGTATTCCTGTTTTCATTAACCTCACTAGTGCTTTGAAACATGCGCTCGGTAGCCCTGAGACGCTGTTTGAAGCGCAGCACAAATTCTACCAGCCTGGCAGGGTGGAGGTGGGAATGGCGTCGGCCGTGAAATCAGTGACTTGGAAATGTGTTTTTGAGCTCTTCACGCTCAGAGCCCAGAACTCCCAGGTTGTGGTTACAGACAAATCCCCCATCCTGCATTTCTCCGTGGGGTTACCGTGACCGCTTTGTGGTGAAGAGAAAAGCAAGTTTAATCCCAAATCAACAAAAATCTCCAAGAGGTTGGGACTTTTACATTCAGGTAAAAAATTCTTGTCAGGGGCAAAGTTAAAAAGAAGAGAAAATATCACTCTCTATAATGGCAGTGACCTTAACTTTCTTCGCCGCACGGGATCCAATGCCTTGCGTCGGGGTTCATTACAGCTTCAGTGGCTGCACTTGAGTGAGGCCGTGAAGTGAGGGCTTGAGGAAGCCACGGGCAGCTGTGTCCCCACCTGAACACCAGTCATTGGCTTAATAGCTAGGCTATTAAAAAGGATTTATTAATACTTTGTCTCCGCATCAGATCTTTTCTGAAAGGGGGCAGGGTATGAATTAGAAATAAATTTGTAAATAAAACATTTGATGAAAATGGGATAAGTCACACTGGTAGAATAAATATTGTAGTGGGGTGTGATTAAAATCCCTGTTTATTGGGGCAGCCAGGGAATGTAGAGGTACACAGGGAGCCTTGACATTTTCAGTCTCAAGGAGGGGTTAATAAGAACCAAACTTGGGCAGTCCCTACTATGTGTTAGCCAAAGACGGGGTGACATGTCTCTTGGTCCCCCCAGGTACTTGGCTAGAGGCCAAGTGAAGGCTGGTAAAGAGCCCTGGGGAGACAGGCGGGAAGCCAGCAGCCTTGGTTCTCATCCTGCCGGGGCGCCCGTTCACCTGGGCCCAGGAAGCGAGCCCTTCTGTGGTCTTCAGTTTTCTCTCCTGCACAATGGGGACCATCATGGCTGCCTCCCACTGCCATACAGAGCCATAGGAGCATGACGCAAAAGGAAAAATAGGTGATACGGAGCCTGTCTCTATTTAAATTTTGATATTATATTTATCATGGATATTTTGCAACCATTTTTATTTTAAAAAGGATCACACAGTATATATCCAGAAGAACCGAAGGCATGGTCCTGAAGACATATTTGTGCAACAATGTTTACAGCATCATTATTCACAACAGCCAAAAGGTGGAAGCAACCCAGGTGTCTATAGATGGGTGAATGGATAACCAAAGTATGGTCTATACATACAGCAAAATATTATTTGGCCTTAAAGAAGAAGGACATTCTGATACATGCCACCACATGGATGAACCTTGAAAACATTATGCTAAATGAAATAAGCCAGACACCAAAAGACAAAGACTGTACGATTCCACTTATACGAGGCCCCTAGAATAGTCAAATTCGTAGAAACAGAAAATAAAATGGTGGCTGCCAGGGGCGGTGAGTAGAGGGGATGGAAAGTTGTTGTTTACTTGGTACAGAGTTTCTGTTTGGGAAGATGAGAAGAATTATGGAGATTGGTTGCACAATAATGTGAGTGTACATAACGTTATTGAGCTGTACACTTAGAAATGGTTAAGATGCTAAATTGTATGCCATGTATATTTTACCACAATTAAAAAAAAATACCACACTTAAGTATTATTCTTGACGACTGAGTTGCAAGTCCTGGCTCTGCTGCCTTCCTCACTTCATAGAGGTGATGAGTTTTAAAAAGCTGGAAAAGTGTTTGGTGATTGTTGAATTTGCATACACTTGGTGAGGAGTTAGAAGCTGTGGGTTTCTGATGTTAATGACATGCTTCAGAGAAGATTGCACTGTTGTTTTGCTGGCACCCCACCCCCACCCCCATCCCCAGCAGGCTTTCAGACATAGTTTGGCTGAACTCTGCAGTGAGGGGCCAGTCCCTTCCTTGAGTCCTGAGCCAGATCCAGCCCAAGCAAGACTGACCAATTGCCCATTCCTGGCAAGGATCAGTCCTTGCACTGGGGAGAAACAGATGAGTTTTCTCATCGGTTTGCTTGATGTGTTTTTTTTCAGCATCGGGCTCTGTTTTGCATTGTCACATCATTTTTTTTCTCCACAGCAGAGGCAAACGGAGACGAGATGCTGTGTGGCTGTCTGGCAGCTACTCTCCAACCCTTTTGTCTGCATGGTACTTCCGGGTACATCTTTGTCTCTGTCGAAATATTTAAAACTCTAGAAAGCCAAATGTATTCTGCTCACTGGAGAGTTAGTCCCTTCAGAAGTGTTTTTCGGTGCTAAAAATGCAGGCATCCACGTAGAAATATAAAATGCACACTAGTCTAATTCTACTAAAAGTAGTAATAGTAACAAAAACAACAACATTACTGACCTCCAAAAATGGCGTTTGTGGAATGAGGTCATTCGTCTTTTTTCTTAGCTGTGAACTGCAGCCCAGCTACCTGGCTGGCCCAGAATTCCATCTAACCTATTCTCTTACCTGCAGCAAGTTTGTTCCCAGGCTCCCCTTTGCATGCCTGGGACAGCGTCCTGCCTTTGGCTGTAGGACCACGTGGAGCTGTGCAGCCTCTCCCAGGCCTCATCTGCCGCCTGCCCCTCACTGCAGCGCCCAGGCTTTGACCTCCTCCCATTTTATGTCACCTGCTCTTTTTGACCCTTTTGGATTTCAGAACCATGTGCCAGACATTTGCACGCTCCTTGATTGAAAGACAGGCTAGGCTGTGCGCTCTCTCTGTCCCCAGGCTGCTCAGCCGCCCCTCCCAGCCCAGCCCAGACACCTGAGATAGCAGAGAAGAATCTTGACAAACCCCCACCCCCACCCCCACCCATGGCTACTACTCAGATGCCCCTAGTCTCACACACCTTTCTTTTAATTTGTTCTAAGCGGGATGAACAAGCCTCTTTCCCCTCACTTGACAGACGGGAACAGAGAAGGGTTGTTCCCTTCTCCAAAGCTGGCTGATGAGCGCAGTTATTCCACAGCAGGGCTCAGCACACGTTTTCCATAAAGGGCCAGGTAGTAAATATTTCCGACTTTGCAGGCCGGACAGTCCCTGTGGCAACTACTTAAAGCTGCTGTCCTAGCATGAAATTAGCCACAGAGGGCGTGTGGCTGTGTTCTGACAGCCTCTCCTTGATCACGCTCGTGCCTGGCTCCTCTGAGCTCTCTCATCTATTCAACCTTGGCCTATAAAGACTTGAGCAAACACTAACATCATCTCTAACAGCTCAAGGCCGCATCCCTAGGATGCCCGTAACCCCCCTTAAAGTGACTGCCTGAGAAAACTCAAGGCTGCCCAAAGAATTTGCTGTTGATCACAGCCAACACCTGAAGATATGGCCCCGTCTCCCAGCCTCTGTGAGAGTGTAGGAGCCTAACGTTGATAAAAGCCAGTTAGCAAACCCAAATGGGTTTCACATGGACCAAGCCCTCCTTTCAGCTTGTTGTAATCTTCCACTTCTCTGACTCTACAAACCCCCTTTTCCCCCCATCCGTCCCTACTCCCTCATGCTCTCTTTAAAATGCTCAGTCACCTCTATACAAATCACACTTGAGTCCAGTTCATACTGGACTCTTCCCTATTGCAGCAGCATGTTACTGATAAAAACCTGCCCTTCCCACTTTAACTAGTGGCTTTATCTATCTTTGACAGTTCCCGATAAAACTTGACTCATGGACACCGAAACTGAAATTTCATAAAATGTTCTCATCATGAAATATTCTTCTGTGTTGCTTTTTAAAACACCATTGAAAATCGTAAAAAGCATTCTTAGCTTGTGAGCCATACAACAGGCGGTGAGCCAGGTTTGGCCCCCAAGATGAAGTTTGCAACCCCCTCCGCCTCCCCCCCCCATGTCCCCGCTCTAGGAGAATGAGCTCTGCGCACGACTTCTGGTGCACGTTCCAGGCAAAGAGCACGTGGGTCCTGTCTGCCAACTATGTTTGACTTGCCGCTTCTGAGGACTGGGTGAGTACGGTGGGGCTTTGGAAGACAGAAAAGTGTAAATTATGGCACTCCGTGCCGCCCTATGTGTCTAACTGCTAAGCCCTGCTTCCTGATGTTCTTGGCAACAAAAACCCAGCATCAGAAATCAGACACTTGTGGCTGTGCTGGGCGAGTGCTGCGTTAGCACTTGGATGCCAGCGTGCCCGCCTCTGGAAATAACCCCTCCTATTTTTAACACCCTTGCCTAGTCAGCCGGTCTCTGGTTTCTCCCAGGGAAAATCTCAGGGCCCAGAGATACAAGATGGAATTCAGAACCTCTAGGTCTCACTGGTAAACAGGCTCCCCGAGGCCCCCCCGAGGCCCCCTCTCCCGCTCACCCCCACAGAAGTCCTCAGCCTACCCACAGGACACACTTTCCTTTCCCCTTCAGGGTCCTGGGGTCCCTGAGCGGTGGTCAGGAATCCAAGTCATTTCTGTGCACGGCACAAGGAAAAAGCAAGTTTTCAAAGAGCTTTTATTTCAAATCACAGTCAGAAAATACCCAGTTAAAAATGCTTCTCAGGCCTCCTAGGAGCCAAAGATGGGACGTTCGACTCACGGGACAGCGTGCGTCCTGTCACCCAAGAGGAGAGAGGGGCTGGCTATTTACACAGGAGAACACCCAGAGCTGGTAATGAGCACGGGGCATCCCGATAAGGTAACAGAGGACAACAGGAGTCAGCTTATTAAAGACAAGCAGCCCCGTGGGGACAACTTGGAGCCCCCGCGGAGCTGGCCCTCCTTCCTTCCCGCTGTGGATCATGTCCACAGGCTGCATTTGCAGAGGAGCCTGTCACAGCCCAGAGAAGAGCTCAGCGAGAGCAAGCAGCTTGCAGCTGATGTGGGGCAGGTGGGAACAGGGGAGAGGTCAAGTTCCTGCCTCCTTTCTAGAATGTTCTGGGCTGGGTTTGGCTTCCTGAGAGGTAAGCCCTGAGAGTCGCGGGGGCCCCAGGAGGACTAATGCTCGGGCTCGGCGTCCATGCAGGACTCCCAAGGGTTCTGGGGCATTCGAGGCAAGGAGACGAGCAGGAGGGCTAGGCCGCCCAGGAAGAGGAGGACGAAGGCGGCGCATGCGCAGGCGAAGGACCAGGCGTAATAGTACTCGATCCAGACGGTGTCCTCGCTGTCAATCATGCGCTTCACAGACTGCCGCATAACCTCCACAGAGACGAAGATGCAGAGACCTGCGGGCAGAGCCGGGACGCTCAGGGCCGTACCCAAGCGTGTGTTTACTGGGGCTCCTGCTCAGGGGGAAGGTGGAGACCCAGCCTGGGAGTGGGGGTGTGGTGGGGGTGTGGGGGGTGAGGACGCTTTGAGGCTGCGGGTCTAAGTGGGAACCTGCAAAAGTGACCCCACTGCCTTCCCACCGCACAATTTGCTCGTCCTCAGGTGAACTGCGCGTTTCTTTCTTTTGTTAGTGTTTTTTAAAAATTAATTACAAATTTTGTGAGTGATGGCATTGCTCTCTGTGCCTCCAGGATTAAGTCCTTGTGAGACATGGACAAACTGCCAAGATCGGCCCCCCTTCCCGACCCACCGAGAGCTGCTAAAACCGTGAGCAAGTCTGCTCCTGGGTGGAACCTGGCAATTTCTCCAGGCCCCACATCCCGAGGTTAGCATGAGGATGGGGTGGCAGCACCCCCCACCCTGTGACATTGTGCCCCCAACCCAGGCACGTGGGCAGGACCCCCCGTTCTACCTGCGAAGGCATAGAACATGGATGCGGGTCTCAGCAGGTAATCCCGCTTCTTTCCAAAGGACAGGAGCACGCAGATGGTTCCCATGATGACGAAGCCAAGGCTGAAGATGGCGATGGCAGCGGCTGAGATGCTGTACTCTGCAGCACACAGAGGGGTCAACACTGCCTCATCCCAGGGCCTCGGGTCACGGCTGGTTGTGCTGTCAACCAGGCGAGTGACGATACCACATACCATGATTCCCAAGGCACATGTGAACAGACTGAGGGTCCGAGAGATTAAATCACTCACTAAGGGGTGCGGCCAGGATGTTAACATGTCCTAATTCCAACTCCCAGCCTGCCCTGAATTGCAAAGTGCCTTCCCTGCAGGGGCCCGAGGCCTCCAAGGGGCAGCAAGCTTGTGGCTGGAGACCTTTCTTTAGCAGAAAACTTCCTCTGAGTGACAGGGCAGAGGCGGCACTCGGGCTGGGGATCTGTCCTGGGACTGACAAGCAGCCTGTGGAAGTGTGGCTGGTTTTTGAGCACAGCGCGTGTGATTTTGTGTGTTTATGCATGTATGCGCACGCATACACACGCGTGCTGCAGGTGTAAATTCACCAGTGTGTTAGTGTTGCACTGGCATGCAAACATCTATCAGAGTGAGTGTATGTGCACATGTGTGTGCAGGTCCACAGTGTGTGCAGCCATCCGCACACGTGCAGATGTGGGTCTGTACTCATGACCCTGGAGTCCCCCTGGAGCTCCATGGTTCCCAAAAGGCCCCAGGGCACACGTGCTCTCCGGATGCTTATGGGCTCTTCTGATTCTCAGGGAGTGATTTATCATCGAGGGAAGGAATCAGACAGTTCCTCACAGACTCTAACCCTCCAGCCCTGAAAACCATCACTGGGATTTTTGAGTACTTGTTCTATTTTCCTAGCTCCTGTCACAACAGCTTCCCTTAGGTGCTGTTGGAAAATGCATTCCTTCTGCAATTCGGGAGCCTACCAGAAACCAGCTCTTTACAGCCTCTCCCCAGCCCTGATGAATGGAGGCTCAGGACACCTGGAGATGGAGCACTGCTGTCTCCAGAGCGCAGAGGGTGACAAGGCTGTTTTCATCAAGAGTGGGGAAGTCAGGGCTTTTGTGCCAAATGATTTTCTGGCTCAGCAGCGTGTGACGGCAGACACTTCTCCCCATGCTCCCTGCTTTCCACCACAGGCTCACCTTTCTGAGTGGTGACTTCAAAGATCTCTGAGCTCTCTCCTGGATTAAAATGCCTGAAGTAGGAACAGTTTTTCTCTGCAAAGGAAGGAGACAGACTATGAGTTGAGAGAAAGGACCCGTAGCCGGAGGCAGAGGCTCGACCAAGACAGAGTGGGTGTGATCCCGCTGAGGCGGGAGTGAAGAGACTTGAGGGTTGATCCTCTTCTCCCCAAACCCTGATTCTGGGCTGAGACAAAGATCCTTCTCTGACCTAATGTCAGTAAGCTAAGGGGGCTGCATAAAAGGCTGGGAAATCTTCAGGGAGCTAAGACTGACGGAGGCGAGGGGGCAGATAGCACTGTGGGTGTTGACCCCATTAGACAGCACCCATTAGACCCCATGAGATAGCACTGTGGGTGTTGATCCCACTAGACAGAGAGGGTAACTGAGGCCCAGGGCTCAAGCCATTTGTCAGGGGGAATGGGATACATGGTCGACAAAGGGCCAAACAGTTCCCAACATGGCTGATTCTGCCCCCCCTCCACCCAGGCACATTGGGCAATGTCGGGAGACATATTTGGTGCCACACGGGGCAGGACTGAAAATGGGCATCAAGTGGGTAAAGGCCAGGATGCTGCTAAACAGCTCACTGTGCACAGGACAGCCCCCTACAACACAAAATTTTCCAGCCCCAAAATATCATTGGTACTGAGGTGGAGAAAGCCTGGATCACACCAAAGTCTAGCGCTGTGTTTCTTCTCAGCATTCAGGCCCACCCTGATTCACTGAGTGTGACCTGGGAAGCTAGCAGGGTTTTAAAAAAGCTTTCCAGGAGATTCTGACGCTCAGCCAGGGTGGGAAGCCCTGCGCCAGGCTCCTTACAACGCCCCACAAAGTGCTTTTCTGAGTGAGCCACCTGGACGGACTTGGGTGAAGGGTAGAGAATCCATTCAAGGGCCAAATGGGACCATTGCATCATTTCATCAGACCCTTGACACCTGCGGCCAAACAGGCAGCCTAGATAAGATCTCCCCTGGAGAACTGCTTGGCCCACTTGATAAGTGTCAGAAAAGCTATAGAAGATCTGTGGACAGGGGACCAAAAATCTGGATTTGATGAGGGCTAGAGGAAGGTCCCAGAACAAAGAACTTCATGCCGATCTTAAATATCATTTCAGGCATAATTTCGCTTCCATTTTTCTCCTTTCACCTCTCTTATAACTACACATACTATAAAAATCAAAGGTAGCCTTTTAGCTTATTGAATACAGTTTAATAGTCTTTAGTTTTGATTTGTATAAAAAGTAGATTCATTTCTAGGAATGGGTTATTTTATTTTGTTTCTTAAAAAAAGGACCCAAACAAACCCTAAATGAGGTTGCTTTGTATTTGTGTGAGGCCCTTCATTGATTTCTTTTTCTTGTGGATCCGTGACCTTCAACAGAAAACATCTCTCCTCCTAGTTCAGATGGCGTCTGGTTTGTGCATTCATTTCTTTACCTTCAGGCTATATATACATTTTTACAAGGCGATGGATGCCTCATTTCTTTTGGAAACACGGGAGGTGCTGCCAAAGCCATAGCCTTCTTTGGGAGGCAGGCTTCCTTCTATCTGGCCTAAGTCATCTTATTGCCACTGAAGCCTGAAGCCTCCCACTCTCCCCTCCTCCCCTAGTGTCAGGGTTACTGCTGCCCCCGCGGCTGAGGAAGGAAATGACCCCTGGAGACCAAGCCTGACTTAGCAACAGTAAATGCTCGGAGAGGTAAATTGCCTTCTCTTTGAGCTTCTATATTTAAATCACTTTCCTTTTGAACTGAGTTACCTGGGGTGTCTGACTACCAGTGGTGATGTCAGAATTGATGCTGCTCTTTTCTCTCTCACAGCTTCTGGTGCTATTTTAAAGCATAATGCAACTCTCCTATATTTGTTAGATTATTAGCCACAGATTCTCTTGAATCACTGCTTCAAAAATGGCTCATGCTATGTCGTCAGTCACCATGTGTCTCCCTCTGGATAAAGGAACATTTCTGTTTCATTCTTTAAGGACCAATTTCGGTTGTCATTGAAAACCCTCTGAAAAGAATCGACTGAATTCAAGTGTATTTCACGGTCAGTTGCCTCTCTGACTACTTGCAGTCTGCGAGTTAAAGGCCTTTGGAGTGGAGGACCTGAGATAAAGGTCTGTCAAGAGCCTGGCCGAGGCACAGCTATTTGGAGGTTCTGGGTTGCTGAGGCTACCCTAGCACAGGTAATGTTTAGGTTGTCAGCCCTACCAGCTAAACACCAGGCTTCATTCTGGACAAACTCCTGCTGACACCAGGTGCTTGCCTCAAAACTGTCTTAGCTCAGACCACAGGGGGAGGCTGCATGTCTGGGAAGCCAGCCTGAAGGTTCTGGGAGGTGATTTTCCCCTCAGTGGCCCACGTACAATGTTCCCCACCCTCCCCTCCCCTAGCAAATGCTCTCACACATGGGAGATGGGGGCACGCAGTGAGTGGGGTTCCCACTCAGAACATCGGGAAGTCACAGCTTCTCTTTGATGTGGCTGAACTTAGGGCTTGAGGATGGACAGGTTAACCCTGTCCCCTCTCTGGGACTTAGCACAGAGGAGGAAGCCTGGTGCCTTCTGCCCTGAGCCCGGGAGGAACATCCGCTCAGGGCCCCATGGCTGCCCATGGAGAGCACAGACCCCTCTGTGGTCTCTGGTGGCCCTGGCAGGGGTGGGGACATGTCAGACCCAGACCTCAGCTTGGACATGTCCAGACCCCACAAGATGCTCTTTCAGGACTAATTAAGCCAGGCATCTGCCTCTGTCATCCAAGAATTGCCCAGGGCCCTGTTGACATGGGCAGACCTGCCCCTGCCCCTTTGGGTGCTATCTGGGTAAACTGAGCATCAAGGGCAACTTGAAAAGGAAGGACTCCTGAGATGGGCCTTGTGTGGGCCACTTAGTCACAGGTAGGGGGTTTGGAGGAGAGGGGCAGTGACAGTTCCACGCAGACCCTTTGCAGATACTGAGCCTTCTTGCCTCTGCCTCTCTGATGTCCTCCATGCCCCCTGCCTAGCCTCCATCACACTTGCACGAAGCTCAGGGCTTGCAGCTCTGCCTCGATGGGCTCCAGCCCCTTCACTGAGCAGAAGAAGCAAATGCTTTGGACCAAGTCAGCAGAGAGAACAATGACAGAGTGATGGTCTGGGACCATAATTAGGGACCCTGAGGTTCCTCCAGCCCCCTTCATCTCTGCAAATGGCCCGTGGTGATTTTAACATTTGTATTTCTATTTTACTATATTTCAGAAATATCTGCCATGAGCCTTCATAAGACTCAGTGGTCTAAAAACTTTAAGTGGATTATTCCTTAAAAAGTATGGTGAACTCAACTATTGGGTTTAACTGGGGTTGGGGTATTTTGGCTCACCAAGCATTCTGGTTAAGTGAGTGCCTATCTACGCAGAACCACATCTAACTGTATCATTTTCAAAGAACTTGAACAGAAGGCACATTTAACTCCAAGCTGAACTTGAATGAATACAGATCTTTCTCTGATAGTTGGAACAGCTTGTACAATGAGGGGATGCCTTTCGATTATTACTGAGAATGCACCTAGTGCTGGTTGATGCAGACTTTAATATATTCAAAAAAAATACCTGGTTGATTTGCACAAAACCAAGGGAACTAGTGCTTTAGGAGTTGGAAGAAACATTTCACTCACTCCTTACTTGCATCAATGCCAGGGCTGTCTTCACCATTTTTGTAAAAGTCCTTGATGCTCCCAACAGTGATTGCTCTGTGCTCTGTATCCCTCCACCCCTTTGATTGAAGACTTTTATAAAATGGGTTGGAGAAATTCCCAAGAAATGACCCCAGAGCTTCGCAGCATTGCTGTTCTATGGGAGAAAAGTCTAGTTATGGCCTGGGCCTCTAGCATGGGCTCATGTGGATGGGAAAGGGAGCCTCTGAAATTCTTGGGGTCAGTAGCATCATGTTCTTGCATATGGCCCCAGTCCCTGCACCAAATGCTAGAAGAGAAGATAGGCCACTAGGGAAATGGGGCACTGGGACAGGCTGCTGCCTTGCCCTAAAGAGGCAGAGCCAGAAAGAAGCAGCGTTCTACTCGGCCCAAGGGTAGGCGTTGACCCCTCTGGAGATGCATTTGGGCTTTCAGACAGACAGCTTCTCCTGACAACTGGGGAAGCCCTATTCCCATTCCGGAGGCAGTGGAATTGACCTCAGATGTTGATCTTGTTCTTGAGAGTCCTTTTAAGACTCTGGGTCAGTGAAAAACCAAATCAGACCATTTGTTTCTTCAGCGTCTCCAGCATTTTATGGCAGAATGGGACCTTGAAAAGTCTCCTCTGTTACACCAGCTACTGGGCCATGTCATGTCAAAAGCTGGCCTCTTCTGTGTTTTCTTGGGCCAGCAGCTTTTAGAAGCTGTGTTTGTACGTACAGTAAAGGGCATGGGAGGGGACTGCAGAGAAAAAGAGGCTCTGGATCTGAGACTTGGTTCAACTTGTTCATTGGTTAGCCTTGGGAAGGCCACTCTGAGTGTCAATATTCCCACTTGTAGCAGGAGAACCACCTGGAGAATGAGAGCCTCCTCGCTGGGTGGTTGTAAAGTAGTTATCATGTACTGATTAAGAAGGTGAATTTTAGGGGTTTGAATCCTGGCTGCTCTGCCATGGTAATTGTGTGAGCTTGGTCAAATTACTCAACTTTTCTGTGCCTCATTTTCTTTATCTGTAAGATGGGGTGATGATAATAGTATGGACCTCATAGGGGATTTTGTGAGGATTAGATGAGTTAATACATATGCCACCCCACTGCCTTCTGGCCTCCGTGGTTTTTGGGAAAAAATCAGCTATTAATCTTACTAAGAATCGCTTGAATGTGAAGGGTCACTTCTTTCTCTTACAAGATTCTCTGTCTTTCTCTTTTGACAGTTTGATCATGATGTGTATTGGTTTCATTTTATTCTACTGTGAGTTCATTAAGCTTCATGGGTTTGTAGATTAATGTTTTCCAGCAAACTTGGGGAAATTTTGGCCATTATTTTTCATATATCTTTCCTGCTCCTTTCTCTCTCTCCCCTCCTTCCCTGGAGAGAACTCATTATGCACATGTTGGTACATTTTATTTTGTCCCACAGGTACCTCAGGCTCTGTTTACTTTTCTTCATTCTTTTTTTTCTGTCTGTTCCTCAGACAAGCTAATCTTAATTGACCTATCTTCAGGTTCATAGATTCTTTCTTCTGCCTGCTCAGGTCTTCCATTGAATCCCTTTAGTGAATTTTTTCATTTCAGTTATTGTGTAACTTCTCAACTCCAGAATTTCTATTAGGTAATTTAAAAATAACTTCTATCTCTTTATTGATATTCTGTATTTCATGAGACATCATTCTTATGTTTACTTCAGTTCTTTAGACACGGTTTCTTTTAGTTCTTTGAATGTATCTAAAATAGGTGATTTCAAGTCTCTGTTTAGTAAGTCCAATATCTGGGCTTCCTTAAGGCTTTATCGACTATTCGTCCCCGCCCCCCCCCCATGTGTGGGCCATACATTTTTTGTCCTTTGAAAGTTTCATAATTTTTTAAAATTCAAATTTAAAACTGGACAATGTAAACAACAGGGTGTAGAAACTCTAGAAATCAGAGTCCCACCCTTTCCCAGGGTTTGTTCCTGTTGCTTGTTTAGTGACTTTTCTGAATTAATTTTGTAAAGTCTATATTCTTTGTCATGTGTGGCCACCGCAATCTCTGCTCAATTAATTTAGTGGTCAGCTCACAGAGGTTTCCTAAAATGCCTGGAACTAATACATCGCTCAGCCTTTACTGAGAGGGGCTCCGTGCTAAGTAGAGAGAAGCCAGAGAAGCAGCCTACGTTTCTGCCTTAGCCTTCATTCGCGTTCTGCTTGTTCACAGCCTCAGGATGGGTCTGAGTGAGAACTTAGGGCCTTCTCAGGTCTTTCCTGTGCACTCATGTAGCAGTGTACATGCACATGGCCTTGTAAAGGCCCAAGAATATGTCGGAACTTTTCAAAGCCACCTGTGGACCTCTCATTTTATAGCTGTTTGGTTAGCCTATTGTTTGCCCTGTTATCTACTGCCTCAGGGAGTTGTGATATTAAACAATTGTTTCTAATTGTTTTTGACAAACGCCCTCTGGGAAAAAGACTGTTTCCACTGGAGGAGCTCAGGGTCAGGTCAAATGAAGACAGCCTTGCAAGTGGGGACTTCCAGGAAATCACCAGATGGATCAAATAATAACAGTTCTCTGGGAATGAGGCTTTGAAAGAGATCCAGCCCATTCTGTCCCCTCTGGTGGCTGGCTACCAGGCTGCTTGTTTTCACTGTGATTGCAGGCTGGGAGTTCTCAAGGCTATATGACAGAATTGGGGGTCGGGTGGAAATAAGAGTGAGTTAAAACACCACAAAGCTCACTGTTCTTACTGAGGTTCACCCATTTCTCTTGAATAAGCACTTGCTGGATTGCTGCAAGACTGGTTAATTTCCAGAGTTCTGAAAGAGTTTATTCTGATTATTTTTGCCAATATTCTCATTATTTTTATGGAGAAGAGGACTTTTGGAGGGTCTTACTCTGTCATTTTTTTTTTATTTTTATATATCATCCAAAGTTTATATCTATAAAGCACTGAAAACAATGTTTTGCAAATAAGTGCTCTATTTGTGTTTGCAGTTATTATTGTTGTTGTTAATAATAAATAAGAGAAATGTGTGAACTCTTCATTCATCCAGAAAAGAGGGATCCCATAGGGCACAGGAAGGGTGGGTGGGGAAGGGGAAGGAAGACGATGTCCACTTGTAGAGAGAGAGAAGAGAGCAGAAGGCAGCTTGTTTGTGGCAAGGCAGTGCTCACAAGTATGGGAGGTATGATTCACTCCGGATCAGAGTGAGAAGGCACAGAGATACACTCAGCTCAGGTTCAAGGCCAAGCCATGCCTGTTGGTCCCCTGTGGCGGGCTCAGTCGCTTCCCGCCAGTCTGTCTCTTCCTTGTATGGACTTAGCTCACCTCCCTGCTCATCTGCTCTATACACTCACCAGACTTTAAAAGGCAGGTGTCCCCAAGGGCAGGTGGACAGGACCATATCAATGCGTTGCCCTGCGTGGTCCCTGGAGAATCTGCCTCACCCTGCCCTGCCCTGCCCTGCCCTGCCCTGCCCAGTTGAGTTGGCTGGATAATACATCTGTTTACGGGAGTGCTCAGTGGTGGCTGAGGGGCGTGGGCATCTGGGCTATGTGATACCCTTCCAGGGCATGTTCATGCCATTTAAAGCCCTCAGCCCTGGGACGCGATGTTTCCAAGACAGCTGGGTATTTACGAGTCTTCCGAGTATCCAGTGGGAATAAGCAAGGCAGGAGTTCCCTGGAGCCATCAGGAGGGGAAGGAAGAGGAAGGAGGGGAAGAGGGAAGAACAGGGTTTGGGCTGCTTTGTCCCCCACACGCAGTGCAAGAAGGGTGGGGGCTTGGCACTGACTTCCGAGAAGGGCAGGTTTCAAGGCACAGCCCGTCTAACGGCAGAAGGGAATATTCTGAAAACCAGGTGGGACTGCACTCACCCTAGTCCACTGCCGCCTTGGAGTGGCATTCGTAAGCGCTGAAAGGGGCTTTATGTGGCTGAGCCCAAGCACCTCAGGAGGAAGCAGAGGCTGTGACGGGCTGTCACCCCCCCCCCGACATAGTCATTTAGGGGGGTCATGGGCAATGGGTGACTAGAGCCCTGGCCTCTGATTCTCCAGGCCGGGTTCTTCCCTCAACATGTGCTCTATTTGCTATGAATGCAGAGGGTTCCGCATTTGCAGAATACACTCATTACCCTAATACCAGGTATTCTTGACAAGGAGTTCACCTTCAATGTGTCGTTGGGCCACATGGTAGGAAATCGAGGAATGCACTTATATTACAGAGGAAGAAAATGCGTTCCAGCTTGGAAGGGGTCCGAGCCAAGAGAGGATGTGTGGCACAGCTGACCATTCTAACAAAAACGCAGGTGGCTCATCTACAGCCAGGCCCCTGCCTCACAAACGTGTGACCTGTGCAGTCACTCAAGGCCCTGCGCCCAGAAGGGACCTAGCATTGATTTCATGCTCTGCTGTCACCATCTTGAAATTCTTGAAAATAATTACAAGGAGCCCTGCGTTCCGTTTTCATTTTGCACTAGGCCCTGTAAAGTCTGTAGCTGATCCTGTATATACCCGGGAGGCTGGCGAAGGAGCAGGCCAGCCCCACGGGTCCCTTCAGCCTGAGGACACAGGGCCGCCAGCCTATCCTTGCACGGAGAGAGTGGAGCTGGGCAAACCCAGAAAAGCGACTGCTGCTGGGGCCAGGAGCCCCTAGTCTGGCAGGTCCCCGGTTTCTTTCCTGAGCCTCTCGTCCCACCTGTGCAGCCCTCTGCTCTGGGTAAAAAGCCCCAAGCCTCAGCAGGACAGAAACAGTGAGAGACAGACAAATGCACCGCATTTTGCAGCCCAGCTCTGGCAGCCAGCACAACCTCATGCAGTTCAGATCCTCTTCCCTGGACACAGAGGGCTGTTCTGAGGCTGGAAAACCTGCCCTCTTTCCCATGGGCCATTTTTCCAGGGCAGGAAGCAGGGACAGGGGACAGAGACTGGGTACGTTACCCCCAGGCAGGGTGATGGGTCCGCAGCTCTTGTCCTTGCTGTCACTCACGACAATACTCTTGGTACAAATCCTCCAGAGGCCGAAGTGGGCTGCTTCGCAGGTGACGTTGTGGTGCTCCACCTGGGGGCTCAGCACAGCCCAGTGGTCAGTCACTACGGCTAATGTGGCCAGCACGATGCCCACCAGGATGCAGAAGAGGGTCACACGGACCTTCAGTGTTTTGGTCTGGGACATGGTGGTCGCAGAAGGGTGGGTACTCTGGACAGGGTCCGGCGGCGGCGTCTCCTTGGGCAGGTGGCAGCCAGGCTGGGGTGGTGGCAGCAGTTATGGTGCAGGAGGTGGAGGCTAAGTTTAGTGTGGCTGGCAGAGCCAGAGTGGGCTGGCCTGGGGGTGGAGGGACACTGGACGGGGCTGAGCAGCTGCCCAGACGTGACAGGGGCCTGAGGGAGGCTTCTATTAATGCACATGGACAGGCACGTCACCGTCACCGAGGATGACTTCTTCTCGGGTTTCAGAGCTTTCTTTTTCTCATGGAGCCAGAAATACCCCAGGGAGGGGCAAGGAGAAGAGGCTCTGGATGGTGACTGGACACCTGTGCTGAGTGGCAGCTCAGGACACCTGAGCTGGGAGGGAGTGAGGGGTAGGCCACAGGGACACTCAGTGTGGGGGGACTCTGCCTGCTCTGGGCTGAAGGAGAAAGGTCACTGCTGGGTGAGGGCAGGGGACCCTGGGAGATACAGGTGGCACAGTTTTCTGTTATCTCACCGGGCAGGTCAGTCACCAGGGTGGGGTGAGTGGGTCCTTGTCTTGGGGGCCTAAGGGACCCAGCATCCTGCTTAGGAACATCTTGGGAATCCCCCCACCCAGGGCCTCTGGAACCCAGGCAGGAGTTTTAGCCCCAAGGCCCATGACGTTCCCCCAAACTGCAGGAAGATTTCAGGTGGTTTCTGGGCCTGGCACGCCCCGACACTGCCCAGCATGAGAACACTATTTCCGGCTCCGTTCTCCCATCCCTCCTGTTTGGTCCAGAAGAAAAGCCCCATTTGGGGTAAGTCTTCACCACCTTCCTGACACTTGCACATCAAAGCCTGGAGGACCGAGAATCCAGTGGGACCCGATGGTAGTTCTGTTTTTGCTTTACTGTTTTAGTTTTACCTCTATTAATCGCAGGTAATAAAGATATTCCAGTTACGTTTTCATTTACGAAATAAATATATTTACGTCAAAGAGAACCGAAGTAGGTTGATTTACGGGTGATTATTAAGAGGCTCATGGGTGAGCAGCTGTAGCAGAGGACGTGTGGAAGTTCACGATCACCATTCGAGGGCCTGTCTGCCCACACGCCTGCCAGGCTGGTCTTCAGGCACCTACACCCCTCCTGGGTTCTGCCTCTTCTTCCTCAGCTCACCAGGTGCCTCTTTTGGGGGTGTATCTGAGGTTGATGCATGGCTAGAAATAGACCCCTGAGCTGGGCCGGAGTGGGGGCCCGGCATCTGGGGTACATGCAGCATCAGCTGCACCCACATTGCAGGCCCATCAGAGAGCGAGGCTGCACCTTCCCTCAGTGGGGGGCAGGCTTGTGTCGCATGCAGGGGTCCTGAGTCCTCCAACCCAGCCAGCAAAAGCATGATGCCTTCTTCCTTTTGAAGTAGCCTGTGTGAACATCCACCACTACATTGGCAGTGCCAGGGACTGCAGGCCAGTCTCCTTTCTCTCCCCTGTTTACGAAAAGCTCCTTCAAACAGACCGTTTCTGCTCGTGGAGGCCACTGCCAGGCTGCCTGCTTGGCACCTCCCAGGGCCTTGCTGGGCCAGGAAGGGGGGTCCAGCATTTGCTGGGAGCCAGAGCTGGGCGACGCCCATGTCCTCCACACAGGCCCTGCATTTTCCAGGGCAGCAGGAAAGACGGCTTCTTAGGGAGTGGGAACCAGCCTGCCAGTGATGGAGTGGGCAGCCCCACGGTCAGGTCCTGGCTCTGCGGATCTCCAGCTGTGTGGCTTCCAGCAAGCCACTAACCTCTCCAAGCTGCCCTTGCCTCAGCTAGAAAACCAGGGCAGTGGCAGCTGGCTGGGGAGCGGCTGTCGGATTAGAGAGAATGGGTTTATCAGTTTAGCCTGCGGTAGGTGCTATGGACTGAATTATTCCCCCTCCCCTGCACCGTCCCATTCCCCATTCGTATGTTGAAACCCAAACCCCAGTGTAATGGCATTTGGAGATGGGGCCTTTGGTGGGTGATTAGATTTAGATGAGGTCCTGAGGGTGGGGCCCTCAGGATGGGATTAGTGTCCTTAGGAGAAGAGTCACCAGAGAGCTTGCTCGCTCTCTTTTTCTCTGCCATGAGAGGACTCAGTGAGGAGCTGAAAGCCAGGAGGAGGACTCTCACCGGAACCCAACCATACTGGCACCCTGATCTAGGACTAATGAGCTCTGAGTGATAAATTCCTGTTGTCGAGGTCACCCAGCCTATGGAGTTTTGTTATGGTAGCCTGAGCTGACTAATACAGTAGGCAACTGATCCAGGATGGCTGTTATTATTATCTATAGACTGCAGATGGATGAGCTTTCTCTGATGGGAAGGTAGAGGCGGTGAAACTGTATGATGTACGCATTTTGGGTCCCCTCAGAGAAGCCGTCTAGATCTGAGCCCAGGATGGGAGCTTCATAAATGTTTGTTGAATGACTGATGGATGGATGAATGGACACACTGACTGAAAGAAGCAGGGGACAGAAGCTTAGATAATTCACTAGATGATCCAAAGGACGTTTCTATGGAGCTTAAGGCCACAGGAACACAAGACACGGCGGTTTGGACAGCCCTAGGACAGCTTGCATCAATGGCTAATTTGCCTCCAGGTGCCAAGCGACACTCCAGGAGGGCACCATAGTCACCTCTGTGATCAAGATCTGCCTGCCTACCACAGGCAACCTCCTGAGATAGGACATTACCTGCAGTCTTCACGGTAAATATGCCACACTAAGAAATTTGGGGATTGTCTATATTTTTCTCATTCAGATGAACCCGTTTTCATTTGGCCCAAGTGACTAATCTTTTCTCAACAAGGAGCAGATATAACTAGGGGAAAGGGAACACCTCCCAGAGGTGGGCCTCATTCAGAGCTGGGACCAGGGTACACCTGGGTGAGGGCCCAATAAACCCTCTTTGGCAATCAATATGCTGATCTAATTTGAGCTCAGGCTTAATTAGGCTAAGAAACAGCCTTGAGGGTTTGATCTTAAGTTACTATAAAAAAGCAAGGCACCACCCAATTGGTCCCAACCTCTTTACGCCACTTCATTTGCCTCCTGTCACGTTTCAACTGGGACCCTCTGTTGCATCAGGCTTGTTGCCTCCAATTCCATCTAGTGCCTCTGTCCAGGGGACCCAGAAGTCTTCCATCCTCAAAGCCAGCAATCGCATCACCCTCTCCTCTGCTTCCGCCATCGCGTCTTCCTCTCAGACTCTCCTTCCTTCCTCTTTCCCTTATATGGACCCTTGTGGTTACATTGATAATCCAGGAAAATCTCTCCATTTCAACATCCTTAAATTAATCACATCTGCAAAGTCCCTTTAGCCATGCCAAGCGACATATGCACAAGTTTCATGGATTAAGACTTGGACATTTCAGGGCCATTATTCTGCCTACCGCAAGCATCGATTTTATAACTTGCTTGATTTTCTCTGGCATCACATCGTTAGCTCAGGTGCAGGGATGGAGAAGATGGAAGGTGAGACTGAAAGAGGGCTGAGGCTCTTTCAGGAGGGCAAAGATAGAAGGAAAGGCCGTCAAGGGAACTAAGGGCATCGGCGAGGGTGAGTTTAAATGATGACTTGCCACATCTGGGCTGGTTAGGATGCCCGGCAACCAGGTGGTGTCAATATAGTAGGAGAAAATTGAGAGGCCAAGGCCCTGAAGGGCTTGATGAGGTTGGGAACAGCTGTAGTGGTGACAGAACTGGGAGCATTGGAAGCTGTGGTCAGAGAGGAGGACAGGGCCCTGAAGATTACAGGGGGACAGTCAGGGGTGATGACAAGAGCCAGGCTGGAGATGAAGGTCAAGGGGCGAGAGAAGACAGGAGAGCTGTGAGGCCAGAGAGCTGGAGTGGGTGGCCCCGCAGGTGTCGATGTGGCTCCGTTTGATGGTGGCAGGACTTGGGGTGCAGAGGAGGGCTTTGAGCTAGATGTGAAGTCCCTGATGAACATGAAGATGTGGGCAGGAAGGAGTTGGGGAGATGACAGTGATGAAAAAGAGTTCAGGATGGTCTACCCAGGCCCTCAGAGAAAGCTTTTCCCCAGGAGGGTGGAGGGGTAATGGTTTGGAGGTATCAGCACCCCCACCACTCCCCTGTCCTGCAGTTATAAGTCCAAGGACATGAGTTCATGACCCCCTCTGACCGCAGACTTCTGTTCCTGAGGCTACACCAGCAGTTTTGTTGGAAGCTGCAAGTCTAAAAATACCTGTATCAGGTGTATCTGCCCCAGTCTCCCTCTGGATCCTAAGGTCCCTCGGATCCCCTTTCTCCCTTTCCAGCCCCATACCTCTTGGGACTGAGTGTGGGGCTGGGCAGCCAGGAGTATTATATTGGGAACCAGGGCAGGAAACCCCAGCAGAAGTATGGACAGCTTTCACCAGGACAGTGGGGAAAGGGGTATCCTTGGGAGAGAGAATGGTTTCATTGATCCCAGCATGTGGAGGGAGACCTCAGTAAAGAGATTTTAAGATGCAGGGAATTCCAGAGTGCGTCGTAGAGATGGAGGGTGGAAGGGAGGGTTGGCAGGTGGAGAAGAAGCCCAGAGCAGGGTGAGGGTCCTGGAGAGACAAGGGGGACAGATTAGATCTTCCCCAAGTGGCCATAGCTGTATTTCTGCTCCCACGTGTTCTAGAACGTCATCACTTCCCATCAACAGGTGGGACCTATTTCCTCTCCCCTTGAACTCAAGCAGGTTTCTGACCTAATCCTTCAACTACAGTGGAAGGGACGCTATGTGACTTCTGAAACTGCCACCATTCTTTCTTGCTCTGGGACGCTTGCCCTTGGACCCAGCCACCATGCTGCGAGGCCACCCAGAAAAGCCACATGTACACACTCAGGCCGAGAACTACAGCTAAGTTCTTTGCCAACAGCCTCCAACACCTGCCAGGCATGTGAGCAAATGAGCCTTCAGAAGATCCCAGCTCCCAGCCATTGAGTCTTCCAGCCGAAGCCCCAGACTCTGTGCAGCCGAGATAAGCCATCCCGACCCTGTCTCTCTATGAGGCAGAGGTAAGAATCTGTGACCATATTGAATGGTTGTTCATTGCCACTAAGGTTTGGTATAATTTGTTACACAGCCCTACTAACA